TAAAGATGACAACTATGAATATGAGAAGAAAGGAGAAGATGAGGTTGAGGATCAGGGGAAGAAGATCATCCTCCATGCTGTGAGTTTACCTATGGGGCTTTAGGGCCTGCTAGAGATATTTCATTTTTTTCTAATACATCATGCCCCTAAATTTTGTATACATGCTATGTATGACCAGATTCTGCTTCACCCAAGCTATGACAAGTTCAGTTATTGGAGCCCACCTATTCAGGAGAGGGAAAGACCCTCCAAGAGGTCCAGACCCTGCCAAAGGAAACATAGAATTGGGAGAGTGAGTGCCTAATAGAAGGAGCTACCTCTAGGCTGGCTGTCTTTTACAATACCTGGAACGGGACTCCAAGGTATATTACACAGCTCAGATGACCCTGAGCAGGACATGTTCTAGCACAGTGAGTCCTTGACTAACACTTCTGCTGTAGTCCATCAGCTGCTGATCTTTGCAACAAAGGGACCAAGGCCACCAAGCATTAGCAAAGTTGCTTATTATTCAGTGTCTGTTGGCATTGGAAGCTCACTTGCAGGCCATACACAAAGGTTTGAGTTTCAAGAAGAAAATATGTTCAATTTTTTGTTAAGAATACAGAAAGATATAAGGTAGACTATTTTGTTAAGATTTAAAAAAGTGGTTCATATCAGTGTTTTACAATTGTTAATTATCTCTTATTTCTCCTACAGATTGAGGGCAATGGAAGCCATGGATGGAGATAGGATCAATTAATCAGTTCTTTGTGGATTTGAGATCATCTAACATTCTTTATCATGTGGAAAGTTATCATCAGTGATCCTATTCTAATATTCTTGATCCAAATATATTTACTTAAAACTTCCCCTACTGTTTATGCATCCTTTAAATTACACTTAACAATTATTTGAAATGAATAAATGGAGAGTCTTTTATCAAAAATACAAACAAGTTGATTAATATGGTGGTATTCTATTTGTACTGAAATGTGATTTTAATTGTATGTTAATAAATAAAGTTTCTGGGGGTCAGAGCTATTAGAGCCATAGAAAGAGCATGGCAGTGGTGGACCACGACTTTACTC